TGGCCCTTGTCTTTCCTGGGATAGCCTTAAAGCATTTTGAAGTCAGGTGTAAGGCTTGAGATAGTGCAGAAGTTTCCCAGGCTGCTGCCCCACTGCTTTTGAAGGGTCACCCACCTAATCCGGCCATTGGAATTGCTGGCATCTTTGAATCACATACCCTACCCCCTGGCTTCCTCACAGAGAGTAACATCCCAACAGCCAAAACACAGTTCCGTGGTGTACATGATGGAGAGGGAGTTGCTTTTTTAAAGATGGGAAATGAACTCCCCACCAGGTGATTCTCTTGCTAGATGAGAGATGCCTTAACACACAATATATTATAGGCCTTGGTTTAACTGTTGGCTCCCCTGAGAGCCACCTGTGGCTGTGACCTTGCATCATTATGTCCAAGTTTGGGGCTGGAGCCTCTTTGATGAGAAAGTAAAGCGAGATTAGAGATGGAATGCATGCGAAGTAGGGATTCTGGACCGTGGCGCTATTTACATTTGGGGTGGGACATTTCTTTGTGGTTCAGGGCGGTACCGTACACTGCATCCCTGGCCTCCATCCACTAGATGGCAGTCGCACAACCTCCGTCGTCGGTGACAGTCAAAATGGTCTCCAGTCATTGCCTAATATCCTGTGTAAAGCAGTCACACCTTTGTAAGAACTACCCCTATGAAGCACCCAGCACAGTGCCTGGCACCTATTAAGTTTTCTTCTGAGGACCGGTGAGGAGAAGGGGGCTGCTTTTTATTGAAGCCTGAACCTTCTGAACCTTCTGCTCATAAGCCTTCTTCTGCAGATTGAAAGCCTGTGTGCACGTGTGTTTACAGGACAGAGATCTGGTGATGGAAAGTAAATTCCCAAAAAGATTCTCACTCGCTGGTTTTGTACCTTTCTCAGTATTTCTAGCCTCCAAGACTAGCTATCACCCTCTTTGGTTTAAAGAGAAAACAGCCGCTTTCTCTTTCTGCTTCACTGCTTTGTTTCCTGCCCAAATTATTTATGCAGTAATGGCTTCTTAACTGGTGATCCCATATCTAATGACATTCCGCCATAGCTTTTGGAAAATATTTTTCCGCAAAGAACCAATAGTAGATTATTCAGGCTTGGTGGGCTGGGCAGTCTGTCACAACTATTCAATTCTGCCGTTGTAGTATAAAAGCCACCGTAGATAGTCAGCAAAGGAGCATGTCTGTGTTTCAATAAAACTTTATTTACAAAAACAAAATGGGGGCCAGGTTTGCCCCGTGAGTCATTTGCCAGGTCCTCTCTGCATCCCCCTACTTTATGGAGCCCAGAGTTCATTTTGTCAGCACGTATTCACTTGGAAAACACTTGTAAATGTCCACTTTGCAGCTAGTATGCTGTTGGACCATGGATATGGGACAGGAAATGTGGCACAGTGTCCTGTTTTCAGAAAGCTCACAAACAAATAACACAGTGGCAGTGCTCGGAGCTGTGTGAGCTATGGCTACCAGCTATAGTGGAGCCAAAGAGATGGGCGACTGACCAGGTTTCAGCATCAAGGAAGGCCTGCTGGAGGAGGGACTCTTAATGCAGACTGAAGAAAGCGTAAGAACTAGTTGGGCAAGGGGATAGGTGAGGCTTTGCAAGCTGAGGGGCAGTGTAGGTGAAGACTTCATGGGGTTGGGAGGATGGAGCTCTTCTCCCTTAACTGATCATAAGTTTCTGGAGGCCATGGCACTTCTCTGCTCCATACAGAGAGGGCTCCAATACTGCAAGGAGCCTTAGCTCTTTTTGCAGGAACTAGTGGGAATGGGCCACTTTTCTTGAGGTTGCCCTGCACCGATGGAAATCCCCAGGGTTATATATGTTGCTGGTGAAAGTATCTTCTGCTGGAGGTGGAGGAGGGAAGCCTTTGTCTTCATCTGATCATTGTCTGGACCGCTGCTCCTGTGATTATTCTGTTCTTCCCTGTAGGGGCTCAGACAAGTCTGTGTTTCAATAAAGAGATGGGCCAGGTAGAAGATTGGGGAGGCAGAAACAGATCTTTGAGCAGAAGCCGCCTCTGGCACAATGAATTTCTCATCAGATGGTTCCCAAGATCCCCACATTTCTGGGGCTTTTCATCACCCATGGAGAAGTGGCATCACTATGGAATTTCTGTACAGAAGGATATGTTCCTTGAACAGCCCAGAAAAAGAAAAGATGCTAGTTTAGTTATAAAACAGCAGAAGTTTTTTTTTTTTTTTTTAATTAGTCAAGACCCTTTCAGTTGTAAGTAACAGAAAACTAGCTTAAAAAATCAGACAAAGGGTACAAAGTGTCAGTTTTGCAAGACAGATACATTCTGGAGACTTAAGTACAGCATGGGAACAGGAGTTAAAAATACTGTATTATATACTAGAAATGTGCTAAGAGGATAGAGCTTAAATTAAATCTCAACACACACACGGAAATCACATGGAAGTGATGGATATGCTAACTACCTGGAATGTGGTCACTTCACAATATATACATATGTCAGAACATCAAGACAAACACCTTACATGTATAATTTTGATGTTAATGATATCCCAATAAAGCTGTTAAAAAATAGGACATTTACTGACTTGTGTAACTGAAGCAAATAAGGGTGGTTCTAACTGCGGGTAAAGGTGGACTCAAAACTTCAACTGATGTCCCCGGGACTCAGTAGATACTTCTGTGTTCCTCATTTTCTTCTCTTCATTTTCCTCTAGGTTGGCCTTACCTGTAGGCAGGTCTTCTTCAGTGGCAGTTTTTTGTTTTGTTTTGTTTTGTTTTTGAGACGAAGTCTTGCTTTGTGGCCCAGGCTGGAGTGTGGTGGTGGAATCTCAGCTCACTGCAACTTCCACCTCCCAGGTTCAAGCGATTCTCCTGCTTCAGTCTCCTGAGTATCTGGGATTACAGGCATGCACCACCATGCCTGGTTAATTTTGTATTTTTAGTGGAGATGGGGGTTTCGCCATGTTGCCCAGGCTGGTCTTGAACTCTTAACCTCAAGTGATCCACCCGCCTTGGCCTCCCAAAATGCTAGAATTACTGGCATGAGGCAACATGCCCAACCTAAGTGTCAGTTCTTGGCAGCTTCAGGCTTATGTTGCTTTTGCAGCTGCCAATCACAGTGGAAAGATAACGTCTTCCCCAAAACTATGGCAAAATTCCAGGGCGACTGGGACTCAGTGGTTTGACTAGGGCTTAACATACAAATGGATTCAGTAGACTCATGGGCATGAACCCAAATTCATGGGACTATCTCAGTGGGACCTTCTGACTGGCCAGGTTGGTGTCCTGTGGTTCATCTCTCAGTGATCGGGAGCTGGGTTCAAATGTATCTACACCATACAGGCTGAGAGTGGGACTGGGGTCTTGTTGAAGAAACAGGAGTGAAGACAGACCAGCAATATCAGCACATGTCTTTTGTGGCTTCCCAAGGATAGACAGGGTTAACTGCTCATGGATGGCAATTCGGCCTCAGCATAGGCACACCCTCCATGGCCCCAGTGCTATGGAAACATGTTAGAAAGACAGAAAGAAACGCTTGTGCCCTTTTATTTCCAATGGCACAGACATTTGGAGAAATTTGTCCAGAGGAGGCAAGAGCCTGATGGGAATGTTTTTCCTTGTAAAATGTTTAAACTTATCCTAAGCTTCGTTCTCTTCCAAGTGTCATCTTTAACATTCTAATTAAGGTCCCTTCTAAACAAATGCACCAGTCCTGCCTGTGTGCTTCTCTGAGAACGAACTTTTTTTTTCCCTTCCTTCTTTCTGTCATCATGTTTTTGCTGCGCTCAAATTGCTTTAGCGAAAGAGGATTTCAGATGTTGGTGGCGAGTACTGAAGAGAGAGGAGCAATTCTGACATTTTCGCCCTAGTGTCGTTATCCGAGGGCTAAAGTCACATCTAATTGACCACAGACAATGGGAGAGGCAGCTATTTGGTGTGCTTAATTGCTGAGTTTTTTTCCACTCTCTCTGTCTTTCTGACTGTGTAATCTCATCTTCTGAGACGATGGAAAATTTGGACCTTTGGGTTACAATTTCTTATGCTGTGTGTGTGTGTGTGTGTGTGTGTGTGTGTGTGTGTGTGTGTGATGGTAGAACTGTGGAGGAGAGATGGTTCCTGAAATGGAAGCATCTGAATTCAGGTTTTTGTTGTGTGTGTTTTTTAAATTCTTCTGAGTTGGCTGTAATTGTCACACTGCATGTTTTGCCTAGATCTGAAGAATGAATTGTTATATAATACTCCGTGCTCATTAAAAAAAAAAAAAAAAAAAAAAAAAGTCAGGGAGGGAGAGGCATTGACTAATGAGACTAAGAGTTAAATCCAATATTTTTCAGAAATGCTTAAAATGTGGATGTCAGAGAGGACGATCTTTGTCCAAATTAGGCCCTGAATTTTTATTAGCTGCTTCATTTTGGCACTGGGGACATCACACACACACACACACACACACACACACACACACACACAACACAAGCACACGGGCAATGGGAGCATTAAAGGGATCCTCCCTCTTCCTATTATGTGAGCCAAGTCACATAAAACTTTGATTAAATTCAAATGCTTATATAAATTGTCTCTCCTCTCAAGAACACACACGTTCAATTGAATCTCTGTTGGCACTTTGAGTATCAAATCAAGGTTCTGCTGTCACTGCGGACAACTAAATGTTCACAGCTTCCAAAATGGGAATGAAATAAAAAGGATCTGACAGAAAAAAAAAAAAAAAAATCCAATCTCGTAAGCCACAGACCCTCATTGTCTTTGAATATTAGGCCGAGTGACTTGGGAAAAGCGACTTGATCTTTCCGAGACTCGGTTTCTGCATCTCTAAAATGGGGAGAAGTGATGGTTACTGTTTCCTTACAGGTTCTGGTGAAGATGAGCTGAGATTGGTCCATCTCAGGCTGGTGATGTCATGCTGACCCCTAGAAAGTAGGCAGTGCACGATCGTCCTGGGATCTGGGAGGAAGCTTTCCGCAGGGTGCCTGCTCATGATGTTCTCCCTCTCCACCTTTTTGATTTTTCAGGGTAATCAGGAAGCAGCCGCTGCCCCTGACACAATGGCTCAGCCTTACGCTTCGGCCCAGTTCGCTCCCCCGCAAAACGGTATCCCCGCGGAATACACGGCCCCTCATCCCCACCCCGCGCCAGAGTACACAGGCCAGACCACGGTTCCCGAGCACACGTTAAACCTGTACCCTCCCGCCCAGTCGCACTCCGAGCAGAGCCCGGCGGACACGAGCGCCCAGACCGTCTCCGGCACCGCCACAGTAAGTGGATGCGTCCGCTGCGCGGGGGAGGCGGGTAGGCAAAGCTGCGCCCCGGGCAGGTGCACCAGGCCTGGGAATGGCAGCAGGGGCGCACCCCCTGCACCCAGGGACTCTGGCAGACGGATCAGTCCCGGAGCTCCTCCTCATCTTACCGGCTTCCTGAAGTTTACCTCATCTCCATGCATTCTTTCTTAGCATTCATTTAAATCTATATATTTGTTCATTGATTTCATTTATTTGCAAAGGGGCACATTGATCAATTTTCTGTTTTTATAGTTTTGCCTTTCCAGAATGCCATCCCAATGAAATATCCTTTTTTCTGAAAAAAAAAAAAAAAAAAAAAAAAAAAAGTAAAAAAGATGTAAGTTTTTTTTGTTTTGTTTTGTTTTGTTTTGTTTTGTTTTGTTTTTGTCTTTATGGAGGCTGGGTATGGTGGCTCATGCCTGTAATCCCAGCACTTTGGGAGGCCGAGGTGGGAGGGTCACATGAAGCCAGTAGTTTGCCAATAGCCTGGACAACAAAGTGAGACCTCATCTCTACAAGAAATTAAAAATTTAGCTGAGTGTAGTGGTGCATGCCTGTAGTCCCAGCTACTTGGGAGGCTGAGGTGGGAGGATGGTGTGAGCCCAGGAGTTTGAGACTGCAGTGAGCTAAGATTGCTCCACTGAACGGGACGACGGAGTGAAACCATGTCTCTAAATGAACAAAAATAAAGTCTTTGTGGATTTATAATGTACATACCATAAAATTTGTATACTTTTAGGTGTACGGTTCACTGATTTTTAGTAGATTTACAGAGTTGTGTGACTATTGCATCCAGTTCTGGGATATTTCCATCAGCCTAAACACAAACCTTGTGCCCCTCTCTAGCTACTCCTCATTTACCCCTCGGAGCTCTGAACCTGTCTTCCTTACCTTAGCCTAATGCATTAGAAATTCATACACGTTGCGGTGTTTTCCCTTGTTTTTTTCCTTTTATTGCTGGACCATAGAGGAGGGGCTAGAAAGGCTCAGGGTGACAGAATTTGGGTGAATAAGGGAACTGTCCTGTATCTTCATGGTGATGGTTACACGACTTGATATACCATAAAGAGTAAATTTTATTGCATACAGATGATTAAATGGATTAGAAACAGGCATGTACGCAACAGAAATATTTTATCATCACTGTAAATGAAAACTGGTGTTTGGGCCATTAATCAAATATAACTCTCAACAGAAAGAATTATAGTAAAATTAAAAAAATATTCATTTGTGTGCCACTTAAAGTAATCATGATACCACAAAACCTATATGGAACATGCATTTGGGAACCTTTTTCTGTAGAATTCTTTAGAAGCTTGGGCACCCCAAACCTCTTGTCTGGGACATGTTTTAAGTGCAAGGCAATTCTGTCTCTTCTTCCTGTCCCAAGACCTCTGGAAAACCAGTATTTAGGAAGAAGTTTACGGGTTTGCAGCATCATACATTTCTTATGATAAAAGCAACCACTGACTAACTTTGCTCCTTGCCACCTCCTTTATTTGGAGGGTAGTTTTGGAAATTTTGTTTTTAATAGTATACATTCTGTAATTTTTTTATCTTCCTCCCTTTTTAATTTATTGCGATAAAATACATATAACATAAAACCATTTTTAACCATTTTAATAATATACACATTTCAGTGTAATTCAGTATATTCACTATGTAGTGCAAAACGACCACCATTATCGAGTTTGAGAATGTTCTTATCTCCCCAAAAGGAAACCCCATACCCATTAAGCAGACACTCCCCATTCTCCCTCTCCCCAGCCCCTGGCAACCACCAGGCTACTTTAGAGATAGCTTTTTGTGTCTGGCTTCCTTCTCTTAACACAATGTTGTCCAGGTTGATTCATGCCGAGTACCCCACTGTATGGCTAGACCAGGTTTATTTATCCAGTAGTCCATTGATGGATATTTGGGTGGTCTCTACATTCTGTTTCTTCTGAACACTCCTGCTACTGATTTTGTTGTATTTAGTTATGGGTCTGTTAAAGGAGTTTCCTAGTTCAGCAGGTGTTTGTTGCTTTTTTGTTGACTACTGGATAGTAGTGCTGGAGTTACGGTTTACTATTTGTGGGCTGTTTTGTGATCATCAATAGTAGTAGTGCCTGGATAGGTTATTTCCAAATTATTTTTAAAAGATCCAATCAGACATTATTGATTAAGCTAAGTGCTGTGGAAATTTAATGTATTCATTTATTTACTCGCAAATATCTATAAAGCTTCTACTAGGGCCAGGACTCATACTAGCTGGCATGGTTGATCCAAACAACGTGATCTTTCCTGCTCGTGGCTCCGTATGAGAGGCAGAGACTGAGCATATGGCAAATAGCATGGGTGACAGATGCTCTTTTTTTTTTTTTTAAAGGATGGATACTATTTTTTTGTATTTATTTTTTATTGCACTTTAGGTTTTGGGGTACATGTGAAGAACATGCAGGACTGTTGCATAGGTACACACGTGGCAGTGTGGTTTGCTGCCTCCATCCTCATCACCTATATCTGGCATTTCTCCCCATGTTATCCCTCCCCAACTCCACACCCACCTCTGTCCCTCCCCTAGTCCTCCCCCCAAACAGATCCCAATGTGTGATGCTCCCCTCCCTGTGTCCGTGTGTTCCCATTGTTCAACACCCACCTATGAGTGAGAACATGTGGTGTTGGATTTTCTGTTCTTGTGTCAGTTTGCTGGGAATGATGGTTTCCATGTGCCTACAAAGGACACGAACCCATCATTTTTGATGGCTGCATAATGTTGCACATTTTCCCTGTCCAGTCTATTATCGACGGGCATTTGGATTGGTTCCAGGTCTTTGCTATTGTAAACAATGAACATATAGATGCTTTTAAGGAAAATGTGGGTATCATAAGAAAATTTAAAAAGAACAGAGGTGCTACCTGCAAATGTGTAGTCTGGTAGCATTTCCTTAAGGAGATAACATTTAAGGTGGGAAGACAAAGCATCCCAGGCAGAGGGAATACCACAGTCAGAGGTCCTAAAGTTGGAAAGATCTGGGCTCATTCAAAGTCCTAAGAAGAAGCCAGTATATTTAGGGCATGGCGAAGGGGTTTTAAAGGTGATAAGGCAAAAGATGAACTGGGAGAAATTAGCAAGGATTTGACATCCTGCAGGCCTGGTGGGTCTGATAAGAGGTTGAAATTCCACGTTATAAGCAATGGGAACCCAGTGAAAAGAGTTTAAGCCAGAAGAGTTATGAAATAAGACATACAAATAAAGGGCTAATGATGCCAAGCTTAAAGGAAATTTAATCCGTTTGGGGAGTTGAGCTGCTCCACATCTTTGCCCTGCAAAAAGAACACTTTAGAGATCAACACAATTGAATTTGAATAGCGTGTTGGGTGTCCACAGTGCCCCAGGCACTGCAGGGAGATGATCTGATGTGCAGGCAAGCTCTCTTCCCTTGGAGAGCCTTAGGAGAATATAGGATATGTGTTCTGTTAATTATGATAATGTACCAAATTCTAGCATATAGATTTTCACAGCTTTTATCTAGCCTGATGGCAGTAGGAGAAAACATTTTCAGAATCACAGTCAGAGGGTTATACCTTTCAGAGTCTTCTGGTTACAGGAAAGAGAAAACTCAGTAAGAAGTGTGCTGGCTCATAGAACAAAAAGTCCAGGAAGAGGATGGACCCAGCTCGGTTTTTGGCACACGTCCATTAGCTTGTAACGGGAACCATCTGGGGTTGGCTTCCTTGTCCTCACCTCTACTCTCCGGCTCTATCCTGCAAGTTTAGGCTCCAGTCACCACGACCAGCAGCCCTGTGAAAGGCCCTTGGATTCATTCCATATAAGCCCTCTCATGGGAATCCCTCTCCATTTCTGGCTTGTGTGGCATTATCTTCGTTCAGTGGCTAAGGCTGGTACTGAGTGTCCCAGCCCTCGGGTCACCAAGGAGCTTCCTATCCAAATACAAGGAATGAAGACCATTTCATCAGAGTCCATGATAAGATACCTTCAGAACAAGTGATTAAAGAAACTAAGTAGACAGAACCTGGTCAGAGCTAAAGATAGCATGGTGAGCCAATTGCATAAAGAAGCTTGAATTGGTGTTTGTCAAGGGTAGGTAGGGAGTAAAAAGAAGCATAAGAACAGCACATTGGAGAGCTCCTGGGGTAGGATTTGAAGGAAGAGAAAACTATTGAGTAAGACATCAGTAGGATGTTCAGATTGGGTGTTCAACCATTTGAATGTTGGGCTATAGAGCCTGAGGATATCAACTGAGAAGACATAATTGAAGTGACAGTCTGGACATCTTTGAAGACCTAGAAGAAAGCAGTTTTGCTGGAGTAGTGGAGAGAGTTCCAGAAGGGACAAGAGTTGAGAAATAAATGGTATATGTTGGAGTGGGTGGGTATTGCCTATTATAAATATTTGGAGTAACTAGGAGAAAGAAGAGATTGCATCTGAGAAGTAAAGAGGTTAGAGGAAGCAGCTGGTAGGATAGTTGATTTAGATTCACTAATTTATGCCAGTAAGATTCCTGTATGAGGTGCAAAGTACAGGAAGCAAGAGATAGAGAATAATGGTGCAGGAAAGAAAGCGATTAAGTTTTTTACAGGAGATAAGAAGGAATAGGACCAAGGGCGTTCAGATACAATAGGTAGTCTAGGAAAGAAGAAACCATTTTTTAACAGCTTTATTGACCTGCAATAAACTGCATATATTTAATGTATACACTATGATACATTTTTACAAATGTACCTACATGCAGAACCATTACTGCTATCCAGATAAGAAATATGTCCATTAGCCCAAAGTCTTCTCTGGCTCTTTTCTGATTTCCCCTCCTCCTCCTTTCTTCATCCCCAGGAAACCAGTGGGTCTGCTGCTTTCACTGTAGCTTAATTTACAGTTTCTAGAATTTTATATCAGTAACGTCAAACATTATGTGCTCTCTTTGTCTGGCTTCTTTTACTCAGTATCATTATTTTAAGATTCATCCATATTGTTG